CCCCCCAAAAGGGTTAAAATTCAAGCCAGACCTGCCCTGGGCTCCCAAAATGTGGGGTCATTACTGCCACGGTCCAACCAGGGCTACTGTGGGCTCTCAAATGGTGGGTTGCTACGGCCTTAGCCACCACTGCAGTCTCACTCATCCCTCCCACTACCAAAGGCCTGAAGGAAAGACACTTGCTGAATGAGTACTTGTTATGCCCTAAAAGCAGTGCTCTGAAGACAATCACACTACACAGAGATGCTGATACACTCCACCTCTCTGGTTTCTTCACCACTGCCGCCAGTTCGCATCTAACAACAGAAGCAATGAGAGCCAGCGCTGAAGCAAGCAAGCCTTTTAGGCTTTTCCCCCAGCTCCCTATGCTGCCCACACTGGGATGCGTTTGCATCTGTGGCGATCCCCCTTTGTGCCCTTTATACCTCTGGGCTCCACAAAGGTAAATACGCCCTTTTCGCTGCCACCAGGTATTATACTAATACCAAATCAAATCCACACACAGGAGCTGTCACCACAAAGTCATATAATTTCAGGAAGCAAGGGGTTTAAATAAATATTCTTTTATTATTGAACAAAATCATAAGGAGAATCAAATATAACTGTTTCATATGTTCATGTATATTAAAATCAGGTGTTAAAGTATCTCAGATCATGTCAATATTTCTCTTGTTATAGTGATGCGTTCATTCCTGCTAGTTCAATATATTTTACTTTTTCAATTTCCTTTCTTAACCCCTTTTTGCTATTCCTAAACCCTAGCACTCCCTCAATATCTTCTGGTCCCTAACTCTGCCTGAACCTCTCTCTCTCTCTGATTCCAACTCCCTGTCTCACCCAGCGGTTTCAACTGTCATTCTGACTCCGCCCCTCCTGCTCCATCCCCTGATTGACATGCAGGAATGACGTCATACTTTGGGTTCCATTACAGCTGCCTTCCCAGGCTAACGAGTCTCGCCTACCCAGACTGTTCCCTCATGGCATGGACACTGGAGTATGGTAGGAAAAAAAAACCTCCCCCTTTCCAGATTTCTCTTCCTACAACAAATCCCCCTCCTATACTGGAGGGTCACTGGAAATGACAAAAATGTTAGAAAAGTTGACAGAAGCAAGAAAAGAGGAAGAATTACTATGAGATTAATTGACTCAATAAAGGAAGCTGTGATGTTTCATTTGGAAGTCTGAAATGACCGGATCTATGGACGTCATTAATTTATATGACTATCTAGGCTGGAAACAACTTGACAGCCCTTAACAACAGGTATAGGTACCATGTAGCTTGTCCTGAGAGGATGGAGATAAACAGCTGTTCACTTGAGGCAGCAACTATCTTGGGATAGTCCTTACTATTTATCGATTTATTTATTTTTCCAGCTTTTACCCCACCCATCTAGATTCAATTAATGTACTCTGGGTGGCTTAAATTCCGAATATAAAACAAAATTTAAAAGATACAATATCAAACAACAGAAAAAAAGAAAATCAGCATTTAACTGAATAAGCATCAATGGTGATGCCCCCTAATGCCCCTCAGAAAAAGGGAATAGGAAACCATTTCTGAATATACCTAGAAAATCCAGAAAAATGCCACCATAAGTCAGAATTGACATGATAGCATACAATTATTAGTATTATTATATAATAATTTATGTTTCTGGTCATTGTTACCAACATCCTTAAAAGGTGAAACTAAATGAAAAACAGCTGGACATGACTGAGATTCTGAAATATATGATACACAGGGGAAACTGAAACAGCCCGGTTTTTCTTCAAAGATTTGAGGAAAATAAGATATCTTTCAGATACTTAGCATTTTTGCAAGAAAACTGTAGCTGTTTCTGCAGGCATTACTGAAGGAAAGATAATGAATGCTGGATTTTAGCTACAGAAGAACTGATTCATACGGGTATTCAAGACTTCTAATGATACTTGGGATGTGGAACAAGTTGGGGACTTCCTTAGGGCTTGAAAAATGCTCTACTATACTGTATATATTTTGCTTTATAACTAAAGGATACTTTGTTTTTTCACAGACAGCCAAGGCTTCAGAGCAGCCTTTCTTTTAAATGTTTTGACTTGCAACTCCGCTAGCCCTAGCCAGCACGGTTAACAATGATAGTACTGTAACGATATTCCAAAACTTCTGGAATGTTGATTGACAGGGTGAGTGAAAATATAAACCTCTGCTAGGTCTCTGTTCAAATAATTTAGAATCCTACAAGCTTGATGAACAGGAGACAACACAGACACACAACAGGGATGGGACAATCATTCAGGAAAAGTGACATTTAGCTGGAACCTCTGCAATTTAAGTCCAGATAAAGCAAAGCAAAGCAAAGCGTGCTGCTTATATACCGTCCCATAGCGCTTCAAGTACTCTCTGGGTGGTTTACAACTTAATTATGCAGGCTACACATTGCCCCCCCAGCGAGCTGGGTACTCATTTTACTGACATCGGAAGGATAGAAGGCTGAGTCAACCTTGAGCTGCTACCTGCGATCGAACCCCAGGTCGTGAGCACAGTTTTGGCTGCAGTACAGCAGTTTAACCACTGCGCCATGAGGTAAGGCTACTGGTTTAAATGGGTCACTGTGATATCTACTAATTTTATTAATTATGATTATTAGTCCACTTAATATTCTGTTGACAAAAGGAAATACTCTGAATGACCTTGCCAGTTATTCTCTGCTAATCTATTTAATCAAGATTCACAATCCAGACTTGGAAAATTTAGTTTTCCAGACTACAGCTTCCAAATCCCACAGTGGTCCCTGCAGTAGCTCAGGGGTTCTGGGAGTTATAGATCAAAAAAAGGAAGATCTCCAAATTTTTCCCATAATCTTGTGGTATCTTAAAGACTAATAAAATTATTATGACATAGATGTTCATACTGCAGTCTACTGACTGGAGGGATAAAATAGGAGAGGACTTTACTCCAACTTCTTGGAATAAAATCAGCATATTAAAAAAAAAATTTAAGTGTATCTTATATTTCACTCACTCAGGTCTGTTCTGCAACTGTGAGCAGACCATTCCTTTATCACTGTAAGAACTGTAGCATGTTAAGAACTGGTGTTCCAGCATTCTTGTTTTCTTTTTTCCTGCTTCTTCTGACTTTTGAATTTGATGGCAGGGACCGTTTCAGGGGAAAAACTTTCCATCTGAAAAGTGTAGCATCAAAGTCGTAAAGAACTACATTTTAAAAATCCCGGACTCGACGGTCTCAGACTCGCCACAGTGGCTCGGGGGGGGGGGGCATTTCTGAGCTTTTTATTTCCCCAAACTCCGATGCTTCCAAGCTGTATGTAATTTTGTTTTTTTTAAAAGAACTGTCAAGACGTGCTAACCCGCCGTCCTGTGGTAAAGAAATTAAGGGGGGGAAGTGTCCAAATTCCCCACATTCTTGAATGGGGCGTGGCTGGTAAACCACGGGCGCCCTCCCTCAGAGGCGCACTTGTTCTCCAACGGCGTCCTTTGCCAGGTCAGGGCTGCTGCTGTATGTAGGGTGGGCATACGCTCCCCCCCCCATGCTATAATCTACCTCTAACCTCTCCGAGAGGTGTGGTCGGCCGTGAGAGAACTGAGGCGGGGGGACCGGGCGGGGGACGGGACGAAAAGAATACAGGGATCAAGATTATTTATTTTTAAGGGATGCTGCAAGATATACCTTCCTTCCGCGGGAAGGATGAAGAGAAGACGTGGGGCAGCAGCGGGGGGAAAAAAGGCAGAGCGACATTGCCCGCGCCGTTGCTGAACTCACCATTTTGCAGCGTTTGGTGCAGCAGCAGGAGGCTGAGCAAGAGCCACGGCTTCATGGCGGGAAGGGAAGAGAAAGACACCGAGGCGCCCTGAGTCCCCGGGAGAAAAAAGTTAGCGAAAAGAAAGGTCCCGAAGCCCCTCCCGTCAGCTCTTCAGACGAGAGAGACGTCCAGAAAGAGCTCAAAGCTGGAGGACGGGATGCAAAGATCGCCTCAAGTCTGGTTAAGCGGATTGGTGGGGGCGCGTTTGCAAGGAACGGCCTTTTCCTTTCCCGCCCTCAGGCCCCCCCTCAGGACTGCCAGTCAGCCCGGCTGGGGCCCATTAAGGACGCTCGGAGCGGCGCCCCCTTCTCTGCTGCCAGCAAGGCACGTCAGAACAGCAGCCCTGCTTTCGGTGTCCCCAGTGCAGCCACAGTGGCGAGGGGGCGAGGATCCAACCGTCTCCTCGGAAGTAACGAGGAATAACTTTCGCTGCCACGGCTTCATGTGGCTTCGGTCCGACCGGCGCTTAGCGGTGAATAAGTCCCTTTGATGGTTGCGGAGTTTGTTAATGAGATGTACTTTCTATAAAAATGTACAGAAGTAGGCGCGGGGCCCGGGGAAGGAGACTTTCCAACAAGCGCAGCTTAAAACCATTTAAGCAATAAATAAATAAATACGGCCAAAGAACCAGCCACGAGCTCTGCTGTCATTTTTGTTGACGCCAGCTTTGCAGCACGACGTGGTCCAAGGAGGAGGACAAGCTGCAGAGGCTGCCGTCTGTGCACATCTGGTTGCGAGCAAGGCCTATGGAACTCTACGGGATTTTCAGCACAATCGCCTGCAGGGATGCTCTGAAGTTTCTCAACTTTTTTCCACTATCTAATGTGTATGTCCTTTTCAACAGTTGTGTGCCAAGCAAGGCTGTATCTAGACAGTTTCTCTTTGGGAGCCAAGAAATTTTGCTGAGTATTCATTGAGGATAAACCACTGGTCACCGAATGTGGGAAGAACAGCAAACTTTTTTACAAATGTGCAACAGGATCAAACCAATTCACTGTGCTATGCAGCAGGTTTTTTAAATGTATACACAGGGCATGCCAATGCAACATACGTTACTTGTGTACTTGTATGTGTGTATATTTGCTTCCTCAGGAGTTCATATACTGTAACATGGCAGAAATCCTCAGTACTAGGAATTTGACAGCATGAATGCCAGAGTGTTTCGATTTAAGCTTCACAGGAGAGCATAATGAACACCAACACTATTTTGCTGGAACGAAGATAACCAATTATGCACACTGTTCAGGTTCTGAATTATGAGTAAATATAAGGGTATACATTTAGTAGATGTAGATTGGTCAATACATTCTTTGTTACATAGCATTTGTAACTGTGCTCAGTTTCCTTTCTTTTCCCCCTCCCCACATCACTATGATATGGGACTTGGATTAGCAATCCAGGTGGAATTATGCTCTTTACTGTCTTAGTCTTTTGGTTATTAAAATCTGACAGATTAAAAAAAACGTACAGACAAGTAGCAAAGAATTGCAGGGATGGCGATGTTATGAAGGCAAAAGCTGAGAATGAGCTGAGGTTAGCAGGAGATGCTAAAAGCAAAAAAGAGCATTATTTGGTATGTGCATAGCAAAAGAAAGAAAATAAATCGTGGCTCAACTACTCAGTGGGGATGGAAAAATAACAGGCAACAAAGAAAAGGCAGGTGCTCAATTCCTACTTTGCCTTGGTCTTGACCCAAAAGACAGGCTGAGGCCCTCCAAACAAATGTGAAGTACAAAGGGAGGGTACAGGATTGCACTTTGAGACTGATAAACAAAGAGTCAAGAAATATCTTGTTACTTTGTATGAGTTCAAATCCCTAGGGCCAACTGTATCCAAGATCATTGAAGGAATTGGCTGAAGATATCTCAGTACCACTGTTTATTGTTTTCTTGAAATCATGCAGGATGGGTGAAATGCCAAATTATTAGAGGATGGGTAACATTGTCCCTATCTTCAAAAAGGATGAAAAGGGGAACTACAGACTGTTCAGCCTGATATCATTCCCAAGGAAAATTCTGCAGCAGATTATAAAGCGACCACTCTGCAAGCACCTTGATACGACAGTGCAGTAATAACTGAAAGCCAACATGGATTTCTCAAGAACAAATCCTGATTAATCTTATGTTTTGATTAGGATCAGTGGTTTAGGCACCTGGCTGCAGAGTCAGGTTGGGAGTTCTGTTCCCCACTGTACATCCCTGAAGAGCCAGCTTTTGTAACCTTGGGCAAGCTGCACATTCCCAGGGTACCCCAGAAGAAAAGAACAGTGTACCGAGTATTCTCTACCTAGAAAATCTCGAAAAGGGTCACCATGAATCAGAATTGACTTGATAGGGCATGATTATTATTATTAGCCTCCATGGTAGGCGGTGGGAATGTTGTAGACATATCTTGAATTCAGCAAAGCCTTTGATAAAGTGCCCCAAGCTAACTAGGTGTAACGGGCAGCCATAGCATCACCTGTCCGTCACAGCTGGGCAGTGAGTCATCAGCCAATGGTGGGACGGAGGGTGGAACTTAAGGGGAGGAGCTGATATATAAAGGGGGGGTGAGGTTTGTGTGAGAGGAGATTAGAGATTGAGCTGAGAGTTGGAAGTGTTGAGTAGTTAGAGTGAGTGAGTGAGCCTGTCAGTGAAAAATAGTCTGTGTGAGCCAGTGTTTATAAACAGTGATTGATTAATTGATTCTTCACCAGTGATTTACAATCTTAATTTTTGTAATCAATAGACCAGTTTTTGTTTTCAAAGTTACACTTGTCCTTTTATGATTTTTCAAGGATAAGTTGGTGGCAGCAGAGTTTTAAAGTAAAGTAGCAACCACTCTTTGAGGTTTGAGGGTGGCTGTTACACTAGATATGGGCTGGATAGCACAGGTGTCAGGTGTATACACAGCTGGTTAGAGAATTGTGCTCAGAATACTTATCAATTGCTCCTCAAACTGGAAGGAGATAACAAGTAGTGTACCACAAGACTTTGTTGTAGGTCTGGTACTCTTTAACATTTTTATTAATTACTTGGACGAGGCCATTCAGGCAGCGCTTGTCAGATTTGTGGATGACACAAAATTGAGTGGAATAGCTAATACCTTGGAAGACAGGAACAAAAGTTAAAAATATATTGAAAGGCCTGAGCATGGGGCTGAAAACAACAGTATGAAACTTAACAGGTCTAGAAGAAAAAACCCAAATACGGTTACAAGGTGGAGGATACATGACTCAGTAATACTACATGCAACAAGAATCTTGGAATTATTGTACACCACAAGCTGAATATGAGAACACTGCAACATGGCTGCAAAAAAAGGCCAATGCTCTTTTAGACTGCCTTAAGAGAAGTACAGTATAGCCTCCAAATTCCATGAATGACTCATCCCCCTGCCCTATTTGACACTGGTTAGGCCTCATCTTGAGTACTGTGTCCAGTTCTGGACATCACACTTTAAGGATGCCAACACACTGGAACAAGTCCAGAGGAAGGCAACAAGGATGAGCACAGGACTGGAAACCAAGACCAAGAGTAAAGACTGAAAGAACTGGATATGTTTATCCTTGAGCAAAGAAGACTAAGGGGAGATATGATAGCACTTTTCAAATACTTGAAAGATAGTCATACAGAGGAAGGGCAGGATCTGTTCTCTATCATCCCAAAGTGCAGGATATGTAATAATGGACTCAAGTTAAATGAAGCCAGACTTTGGCTGAATATCAGGAGTAGTTTCCTAACTATTAGAGCAGCACAACAATGAAACCTGTTGCTTTGGGATGCAGTGAGTGCTCCATGTTGGATGCATGCAAGACAAAATTGAACAACAATCTGTCAGATCTACTTTGATTTGGATTCCTGCATGGGGGTGGGTTGGACTCTGTGGCCTTATAGGCCCCTTCCAACTCAGTTATTCTATGATTTTATAACAGAGGTTCCTGGTCTTCCTCTTTTCTATATATTCTGCAAACTAGCATAAAGCCAGAGCACTAGAAACTAAAACCGAATGGTACAATCTAAGGATGCCCAGAATACCAGTTATTAGTAGGCATCACTGTTTCTGCCTTTGGATTTTAAGCAGCTGGGAAGTTATATTGTTATATGGTATCTAGGTCTTCAGAATAAGTTTTTAAAAGTTTATCTGCAAAGTGACAAAATGTGTGTAAAACGGTCATAAGATTTTTGCCTGTAAATAAGTTCTTAAATATTTTTTAAAAAATATATTTGATCAGTGTACGTATTCCCATCACTTTGGAAGATACAAGATCAAAACAATATAGCATAGACAATTCAAACCTTAATTTCAAAAATATCAAGCATGTGCATATTTACTGTCCTAAGCAGCATATTTAGTGAACAGCAGCATTCTAAATTTCTGCTTCAACTCTATAGTAACTATGATGTATTGATATTTTCTTGTAAAAGTTAAAAACCTGAAGCACCAAATATTTTATTCCTTCTCACATTTTATACAGTTTTTAAAAAATATGTTTTCTAGCACAATAAGCAACATGTTTACAGAATCTAAAAAAGATTTATCCCCATTTATGCGCACAGCAAACATATACATAATCATGACCACAGTGTATATTTACATATAAAGTCTGCACAGTAACACAGCTAAGTTAAGCGCTTTATCATAAAATGTTGAAATACTTTAAAATATTTTTAATTGTAGTGACCTTCTGTGGTAGTTCTACAGTCTTGACTCCACATGTTTCTTATTAAGTGGAATTCCTTGTGAATGTGATAGAGACAGAAGGGAAAATTAGAATGGAGGAGAGAACTTTAAATCATGGGTATGGGACCTACAATTCTTCAGGATGTTGATGAACTGTTTCCATCACCCTTCATCCACTGATTAAGTCTAATGAGAACTGTTGGGCTACAGCCTTGTTTCAAAAGCCATTGGTCACAGCTGAAATCGTATACTGTATTTATCAGAAATAAGTCTTATTGTGTTCCAGTGAGGCTTACTTCTAAATCATAGGACTTCAAATCTTTTTTTAAGAGTAAAGCATATACAATTATTTTAAAAACCAAAAATATTGTGCACATATGATTGTGGTTCATGTTTTCAAAATTATATATGTTTTAAAAAATCAGAAGGACAACTGGAGGAAAGCCATAGGAAGAACAGTGAATGCCTTCTAGCACTGCTGGAATCTTCAGCAGTCTGGATGTCTGGTAGGTCAGAACTCTTCTCACCTAACAATAGGACTGTTTTCCCAAGGCCTATTTATTGCTGCAGAAACATAAGCACATTTATTTTCCTATCAAGATAACAGTGCAGTGTTTGTTGGCTGGCTGATTCCACATACTGTTGACCACTTCACGAGACTTTTATCTTTGATTTAGAA